TATCTATTAGCGTTATTTATTCATGGTATGCACGAGATTGAGAACCTGTCTGACGAATTGTGGAAACGGTGTGGCATCGACTTAATTATGCAGGACTTGATGAGAAGCAGGTAATGCTGTGGGCAAAACAAGTGAAGCGAGTTACTATCGCATGCATTACGTAATTATTCCTGTCAAACCGTTAGATTCGCCTGGTACGGTTGTGTCAGCATCGGGGACTGATTAATTTGCATCCAAATTTGTTTTCATCTCCGATCCCTTATGTAGTTCGAGTTAAGCAACCAAACACGAACGTTTAGGTACTATCTAATGTGGTTTCGTTGACTTAATACGATTATATACATTAATATAATGAATCATGCCTGATAGATGATGATATAGCAAGTACTGTGCATATTTATCGTAGACTATGTGCTTGATATATGACTAATGGTATGGACGCCTGTAAAATAACCAATAATGTTGGTATTTATCGCAATCGAGATGATGTTGTAGAACGTCCTATGTTGTATTACATAACTGCTTTCTGCTACACAACCAGTACACTGGTACAACAGTTGCACATGTTATGACGCGCCCGCTGTTTAATGTAGGATGTTTCCATGTTGGCTGCTGCGTGCGTGCGTGCGTGTTGCCGCGCGTGTGCGTGCGGCGTAGCGTTCTAACGAATAGCAAGGTGTCCAGTGGATTCCAAACCTTTACGCGGCACACGCCGCGATTGCGCCTGATGCTTGCGCTGCCTGCAATCTCTGCAATCGGTCAGCGCGCAAGTTAACACGTTAGGATGCTCGACGCGTGTGTCGCTCGTAGCGACGCGGGCGTCTGATCATATAGCGAGGCGGGGCGTCTCTCGGTAGCGACGGCGGGCGTCTTGCTCGTGCTACGGCGGGCGTCTGCTTAGTACGGCGCGGGCGTCTGCTCGTAGCGACTCGGGGCGTTGCTCGTAGCTACGCCGGGGCGTCTTGCGTAGCTCGGCGGGGCGTACTGCTCGTAGCGACGGCGGTGTTTCGTTTTAGCGCCGCATCGCTTACGGTTGCAACTAGCGAGGAGGCTTTCTGTTCACCAATAGAGAGAGAGAGAGAGAGACCCGCTGTTTGCCTCGGAGAGGCTCGGGAGGGATTCGACTTGTTGGCGAGACTACTGGAGACACGTCACGGAGAATGGCGTCACTTTAGGCGAATAATATACGATCAAGTCCGTCAGCGTGTGGCTTGTTATGAGCGGCGTCATGCCGAGCCAGCTTGCGATTTTCCATCGTGTCTCGTCGCTGCTGTAGGAACGCGCAACGGCGCTAGATTCACTTTCATTTCGCGCGAGAAACCGACGTGTTTTTAGTTAGTACATGCGTTTTTATGCGGTTAGAACGATAGTGGCTTTTTCACTTAATGAGATCCAGGAGGTCACGTGCTGCGTTGAAGCCGTGTCGCGGTGTGGACGAGCGCGAGCTTAAAGCTGGGTTTACACTACCGACTGGCTAATTGCGATGTTGGACGATTTCACAATTCCGGTAAACTCGAGTGGCGAAATCGAGACCCTGTTCCAGTCTCGCCAATTAGTTGCATATCGATCGTTGTCGCGCAACCTTTGCGTTTCACTGCGATTTCGTTGTATTAGGAGTTGGTCCAATTCCCAATTCGCAACACAAGTCGTTGTGTCAACTTATTAGTGCCGGGTGA